ATGTTTAATAAAAAGTTATGTTTAAGAAATTTTGATTAAATTTAACTGTGTTCTCTTGTAGACACTCTTGTCTTTCTTGCTGCCTGGTCACACTAGATTGAGAAACCAAATAACAGAAGTCTTGGATTTGGATCTGATAAAACAGGAAGCAGAGAATGGGGCCCTAGACATTTCTAAGCTGGCAGAATTCATTATTGGCATGATGAGAACACTGTGTGCACCTGTTCGAGATGAAGAAGTTGAGAAACTAAAGGACATTAAAGAAATAGTGCCCCTTTTCAGGTATGAAAATGTGTTGAACACTCTCAGTGCACCTAAGTTTTAAACCTGTTTTCAGATTTAAATTCCTGAAGTCTAGGTTCTCAGTCATTAAAAACAAATTTTTTTTTAAAGCAAACATTATCTAAAATGTAGTAAAGTAGGAAGAAGGAAGAAATTCATCCATAAATTTACCATTTAGAGTCACAATCATTATTTTCAGTTTGAAATATCTGTGTCCTATATATAGTGATACATTGTATTTTCATTTATAATGATAAATAATTTTTATGATATATAAAAATTTTATAATTATAAATGAATAGATTTAATTATTTATATATCATTCCCTCAGTATTTTGTTTTGAAAAATTCCAAACCTGCAGGACAATTGCAAAAATAGGATAAGCAACACAAGCATATCCTTCATGGAGATCTGCCAGTTCTTCACAGTCACATTTGCTTAATCTTTTTATATATAMATGAGTATGTGTGGACATTCTTTTATATATTTAAACTGTAGCCAAGAAATTAAAAGAAATTTTACATTAATATAATCCTTTAGTGGGCTGGGGTTGTGGCTCAGAGGTGGAGCACTCGCCTAGCCTGCATGAGGCATTGGGTTCGATCCTCAGCACCACATAAAAATAAAATAAAGGTATTGTGTCCATCCACAACTAAAAAATAAAAGTTTAAAAAGTAATTCTATTAACACATGCATTAACATGTAGTCCATATTAAGTTCTTCTAGTTTTTTGAATATTACTTTTTTTTTTCTCTTTTAGGGGGGGCAGGGATAGTACCAAGGGCTTCAYGTATGTTAGGCAAGTACTATACCATTAAGCTAAACCTCCAACCCTCTGAATATTTAATTTTAAATATATGTGATTGTGATAAAATTTCTACAATTTCTATGCTAATATAGGTAAAGGAGTGACATGTGGCTGCCTGCTGCCCGAGAATCTGACTTTTGGTTAACTGCTTAGCTCAGTTTTTCTGTAAATWGATAAAAATATCATGTATCAAAATCATACTAGACATAATTGCTTAGGGGAAGTTGATCTCTGATTTATAATTTGCATGTGGACTGAAAGATATGGTAATGAACTATAAAAGGGGATGGGTAACCATCTTTTGGATTTCCCTGAATGGGGTAACTTTTATAACTTGGCATGTCCCTCCTGGGAAACCTCAAAGCCATGCTGTAGAGTTGTTATAAACCATAACAACTTCAGTTGGATGTGGTGGCACACGCCTGTAATTCTAGTGTCTTGGGAGGCTGAGGCAGGAGGGTCATAAATTCAAGGCCAGCCTCAGCCTAAGCAACTTAGTGAGACCCTGCCTCAAAAAATAAAACTAAAAAGGGTGAGGTTGTAGCTTACTGGTAAGGGATAAAGAACTCTGGGTTTAATCCCTAGTAACTGCCACCCCTTCCACCCCCAACAAAAAAGAAAGAAAGAAAAAATAAATTGGCTTCTCTGGGACATGAGACTTTTGAGCTAGGTGAATACACACTGCTGAAGTGGCTCTCCTCACATATGAGTGGTCGGCTTGTGGTTGTGACTGTAATTCTTGCTGAAGAATATGCTTGATGCCTCCCTACAGGCAAACTATGAATAGATGATGCCAAAGGTGGCCATGTGAGTCAGAATGTTCAATTGAACGTAAGAAGACCCCTGGTGGGCATTGCAGGTATAATTTAACATCATACCCTAATCATTTCACTTATTTTTTTTTTTTTTTTTGAGAGAGAGAGAGAATTTTTTATTATTTAACTTTTTTTAGTTTTCAGTGGACACAACATCTTTATTTTACTTTTTATGTGGTGCTGAGGATGGAACCCAGTGCCCCCGAGCATGCCAGGTGAACACRCTACCGCTTGAGCCACATCCCTAGCCCACTTAATTTTTTTTTATTGAAAGCTTTATTGAGATAATTGTACATTCACATGGACATTCAAGACATAATACAATTAATGCAGTTYCCCCCAAGGGTACCCTTTTGCAGAGCTGTAGTATAATATGACAACCAGGATATTGACGTTGGTACAGTCCACTGATTTTATTTGGATTTTCTGTTTTACTAATACTCCTTTATGCATATATGTATATTAATTTTAATACAATTTGATCACCTGTGTAAGTTTGTGTATCCCCCACTACAGTTAAGATATTGAACAGTTCCAGTACCATGAGGATTTCTCTCATCATCCTTTTATAACTAACTTATATGATTTTTTAATACTCTCCATAAGCATTGCTAAATCTCCCTTTTCACAGATAGAGATTGTATGTAATTATTAACAATTCAATTCTACAATGAAAATCTTCATGCACAGAACTTTTTTYCTGTATTTTAGGTTTTTCCCTAAAGATCATTTCTTTTTTCCTTTTTTTTGGGGGGGTGGGGGAGGTCCCAGGGATTAAACCCAGGGGCGCTTTACCACTGAGCCACATCCCCAGCTTTTTTTTTTTTTTTTTTTTAATATTATTTAGAGACAAAAGTTTTGCCAAGTTGCTGAAGCTGACCTTGAACTTATGATCCGCCTGCCTCAGCTTCCCTGAGATTACATGAGTGTGCCACCATGCCCGGCTAAGATCATTTCTTAAATGGGATTACTCTGTCAGGGTCTGAGTTATTTTAAGAGATTCTCATTGCATTTTTTTAAACATTTATTTTTTAGTTGTAGTTGGACCAATACCTTTGTTTTATTTATTTATTTTTATTTGGTGCTGAGATCGAATCATGTGCCAGGCGTGCACTCTACCCCTGAGCCACAGCCCAGCCCTCTCCTTGCATTTTACTACAAAATTGCTTTCCAAAAGTTTTGTAAGAAAAAAGGTGTTGTTTCTTTTCCAGCTTTATGAAAGAGAACAGAGAGCAGATCTTCTCTCATTTGTTCAGTATATACAGAAATGCCCTGCATTGCAAGATTACATCAAACCTCAGAAAGAGCATTGAAGACCTAAGATACAGTTATTGATTGTTGCTTCTTTGTTTGTTTGTTTGTTTGTCCCTCTTATGTGATAGGCTTGGTGCTGGACATTAGAATTAAACTAGTAAGAATTTGCAGTCAGGCCAAGATAAATGCAAAAATTCTGAAAAAAGAGTCTTTGGGGGAAATATCAGAGTAAACTCAAATTCCTWCCATAAAATAAAAGGATCTGGGGAGGCTGACACTTGAGGAGAAACTGTGATTTAGTGAGACTCTGTTTCAAAATAAAATGTACAAAAGGGCTGCAGATTTGTATAGCTCAGGGATAAAGTGCCTCTGGGTTCTATCTCCAGTACTGAAGCAAACAAATGAAAACAAAACATTGTATGAGCACAAAACATACTTGGGGTTATTGCCAGTCCACAGGCCACCGATGGGCAATTTTTGATGGCCTCTGGTTTCCTGTGGGTGGATTCACAGAACTGCTAGGAATGCTCTGTCTGAGAGAGAAAACTTCAGAATAGTAGCCTGCCTTGTGGAGTGGATTTGGGAGATAAACATAATAATGGAGGGAAGGGGAAAAGGTTTTTTTTTTTTTTTTTTTTTTTTTGGTGGGGGGGGGGATTGAACCCAGAGGCGCTTTACCATTGAGCCACATCCCCAGCCCTTTTTATTTTTTATTTTGAAACAGGGTCTCACTAAGTTTCTGAGGCTGGCCTTGAACTTGTGATCCTCCTGACTCAGCCTCTAGAGTTGTTGGAATTACAGATGTGCCCCACTGTGTCTGGTTCAGATTTTAATTTTTCCTCAAATTGTGCATCCTATCTCATACATAATTCATGTGTAGGTAAGTTTATAATGTAATGTACAGTTCATTCCAAAGGATATCAGGAGACTTTTGAGAACATTTGATCTTACTCTACTTCTCTGTAGGTCACAACTTAACCTGTACCTTGGTTTTAAACTACTTCCTGCAAGTAGGCACTTAGCAGGAAGAGTGGCTGTGGTACATGACAGACAGGATGAAAGGCATCCTTGGCCTCAGGTCAGGGCTGTCCACTGGGTACAATCAAAGTATGAACTAGCAATTGATGCCACCAGAAATGGGGCATGAAACATCCCCTAAAACTAAGAAGTACTGGGGTAAGAGGAAAGGAGCAAGGAGAGAGTTAATTTTCTTTCTACCCTAAGAAAATGAAATAACCTACTTGAAAGTGAAAACAGGGTAGCGAACCTACTCCTCCTCTTGGGTCTTGGGCTCTGTCCTTCCTCTGTGGTTGCCAGGAGGGCTGACCCAGAGCCACGGTACATGTCTCTGCTGGAAAGGCAGTATGGGGAGGTTCAGGGACATAGTATGAAGGGTAAGGACAGAAAACAGCTTAAAAATTTGCCGAAAACTAAAAAAAAAATTTAAAATATTCTCTCTCTCTCTCTCAAATTCAAAAAAAAATTTTTTTGCAGTATTTTCAAACATTATTTATATTTGTGTTTTCTAAATTTGTTTTTCTTAATTTACTTTTCTCATTATTTTCTAAACTTTTCTTGCTGTCCTTTCTTTTTCTGGTACCAAACATTGAACCCAGAGGGGATTAACCATTGAGCCACATCCACAGAACTTTTTGTTTTTTATTTTTAGACAGGGTCTYGAAAAGTTTTTTAGGGACTTTCTAAGTTGCTGAGGCTGGCCTTGAACTTGGGATCCTCCTGTCTCTTCCTCCTTAGTCACTGGAATTACAGGTGTGCTCCTGGCTCACTTCTGTTTCTTTAAAGTGTTTATACTTTACAGGTGTCTGGTTTTGAATTCTTTTATCTATTCTCTTTCAGGGCAATTTTTTCTGTGTTAGATCTAATGAAAGTAGACATGGCGAATTTTGCTGTCACAAGCATTCGGCCACATCTCATGCAGCAGTCGGTTGAGTATGAGAGGAAGAAATTTCAAGAGCTTTTGGAGAAACAGCCGAGTATGTTCAATGCTTTGTGTTGCTTTTTCATTGTTGGTGATTCGTTTTTGATTTTCCTTTTAGTTGCTGTAACTTGTTGTATAATAATATTGTTTTTTGCGGGGGTGGGGGTTTGGGGGGGTGCTGAGGTCCAGGCCTGCGATTCCAGTCATGGCTGGTAATGGCCTGGAATGTAGAGACCAGAGAGTGGGCTGGAGTGAATGGCTGCTCCAGATTGACTGACAGGGCCCTCATTATTTGATGGGGCCAGGGCTGGACCTACAAAGGGAGAAGCAAGGACAGACCATGCACGTCAGTCAGCAATTTATGTTCAGTAGCCGARTGCCATCCTCCTGACAACGCAGACACATTCCTGGCTTGTTTTTTTGTCCTGGTTGCTACTTGCAATCTCTGGCCATGTGTCCAGGTTTGCCACAATTAAAACAGTCCCCCGTTAGAATTTTTATTTTATTTTTTATTCTAATTTTTATATATGACAGCAGAATGCATCATAGTTCATATCACACATATAGAGCACAATTTTTCATATCTCTGGTTGTATACAAAGTGTATTCACACCATTCATGTCTTCATTATTGTTTCTTTTGTTATATAACATTGTTTTTAAAACAAAACTAAAATTATGAAAATATTCTAATTTGGGACTGGGATTGTGGCTCAGTGGTTAAGTGCTCGCCTTGCATGTGGAGGGCACTGGGTTTGAGCCACATAAAAATAAAATAAMGGTATTGTGTCCACCTACAACTAAAAAAGTATTTTTTTCCAATATATTTATTTTATTTGTTTATTTTTATGTGGTGCTGAGGATTGAACCCAGGGCCTGGCATATGCTAGATGAGCGCTCTATCGCTGAGCCACAACCCCAGCCCTAAAAAAAAATTTTTTWWAAATTCTAATGAAGAAGTAAAAGCACAAGATATTGGGGCTACATCTAGAATTAAGCATTGAAAAGAAGACTTAATTGACAAGCTAGAGCAGTGTGGTAGGATATAAGAATAGGAAAGGAAAAAGAATGACGATGTCCTAAATTAAATTTTTTTTTAATGAAAATACCAGTTTGAGGTAAATGATATTCTTGGTCTTGACTTTGAAACCATGACAAACTTCTTGTGAATGTTCATTCACTTTCTTCCCTCCCTGTGAGGTAAGGCAGGAAATTTGACTTTGTTTCTGCCTTATGTGTATAATTTTCTGGTTTCATACACAGGAAAAATCTCATTTTTATGAGCCTCTCAGATGAATGCAGGAAAACAGATGACTACAGAATCTAAAACTCTTTCATTTCTAGTATGCTTTCTTTGGTCTCTGTATTAGTAGCTGATATTCTGGGTAAATTTCAGTCTTCAGATCCAGTTTCTTATGAATTCTGTTGGGTCTCCAGCTTTACAGGTGACAAATAAAAACGGCCCTATCTGTCTAGATGGTGCTGCCTGACCAGATTAGTCAAGTCAGTTCTTTTACCAGTTGAGTCATTTAATCCAGACAGAGAAGTCCGAGGGATGCTGAGAGCCAGGAGGAGTCAAGAAAGAGCAGAGTAAAGTAGTCACAGAAGAAGCTCTTATACTGGGAGGCACCCAGGGTTGCAGTTTGACAAACTSAAGTGCCTAGTGTTAGAACCAGGTCCCAGAAGCCAAAGTGCAGCAGGACTCACTGTGGATATGGGAGCACTGCTGTAATCCATCAGTCCAAGTCTATACTTGTCCATATGTACAGTGCAGGATTTCCAGAGCTGGTGAGACACAGAGAATGTTGTCTGTAGAAGGCTAACAGCAGAGTGAGGCCAGATGACCCAGGAGTCAGAACTGAGAGAGAGCTCTGGGGAATCAGTGTACTGGCAGAGAAGAGAGGCACATCCTCCTGCAGCAGGGCTATTGATATGACCTCGGCTGCCCACTTGGTCCATAGGAGACCCCTATTGGCAGAACTGCAATACCTCCAGGACTTCACAGCTGCTTTTTTTTTTTTTTTTTTTTTGTCATAATGTGGACAAGATCCTCATGTTCAAAATTTCTGCATCCCTGGGCTGAGGATGTGGCTCAAGCGGTAGTGCGCTCGCTTGGCATGCGTGCGGCCTGGGTTCGATCCTCAGCAT